CGCTAATGTATCGCAGTATTGTATAGCAGTAACAAAAGTGCAAAAGATAAAGTAAAAATATTCAGAGAGCAGAAAAAATGAATAAATGCGTGAGAGAGAGAAATTCTATTCATCATGTATGGTGTGATTAGATTTGACATAAGAAGATATATCAGAGGAGGGCACTTATATATATATATATATATATATATATATATATATATATATATATTTATTTATATATATATTTATCTTGTAAGTAGGAGGTAGGCTGTTTTACTTTTTTAAGATTCTAGTGACACGGTTTAAAAAATACGGGTTAAAGGATCTAGTAATATTTTCCTTCTACCTGTGTAGAGCTGCAATAAGTCCTTTTGAATACCATCTATGTTGTTGGATTTTTAAGCTTCTGGTAGTGGGGTGATACATACAAAAGAGTTCTTAAGAAATGCTATAAGTTGCGTGGAATTGAGTGTAAAATTAGTCGTATTATCTTTGTAAATCGTTTCTATAGAGGAAATATAATTAGGTTTGATACAGTAATCCAATCAAAGATTAGATTTGGACATTTTTTGGCTGATTTGGGTGGCATCGAGAATGATGAAGGAGGAAAAGAACTTAATAGATCAAGAATACCGGACGAAGAGATAATGGTAGGAGTGTCCGGAGCACTGTCATTAAAGTGTCCTTTTTTGTCATACTGCCAACATGGGCTTTGAACTAGTATGACGAGGGATGGATAAATTCATAATGGCAGCCAGGATGGGTGTGTAGTTAAAGGAGATGTACTCAATTTCCGAAGATAGAAGTTATTTTGATGAAGTTAAGGATTTAGGATTAAGGACTTCTTAGATTCAACTGAAAATGAAGAAGAGAGAGGAGCATTAGCTCCAATCAGTGTGTGGTCTGGTCAACTGGAGACTTGCGATCAGACTCCATGTAACGACCCGTAAGCTTACAAAGAAAACACTATAGTCTGTCAGAGAATAAAAATATTTTAAAGGATGTATTTTCATGGGTAATTAACAGAGAAGATTGCACTTCGAAGTCCTCCTTGTCAGGGATTACAAATGTTACCCTAAGAAAACTCATGATATGTGCCTATTGATCATCTGATGTTCCATATTTTTTAGGGACTGTTCGATTAGTGATTGCGGGATGGAAGGAGATATATTTGAAATAGGGATTCGTTTGGTGGCAGAAATAATCCTGCAGATAAAGATGACGGTGGAATTAATTATGACGTTAGGTGTATGTTTTAGTTAATCAACGATGTCGGTAGATGTGACGAAAATACAGATTCGATTATTCGAAATGCGAAATGGAAAAGTAAATTTTTTTGGATAAACTGTTTCACCAATTTCTTTAATATATTTAAGTAAAACAGTATCCAAAATGGAGTGCATGACAATAAATTGTTCCCTTTTAGAAAACGAACGGGAAGGAGGCCTAGAGACTGCGGCAACGACATATGATTTTGGGTTGGAATTGGAGTTGTTTTGTATAAATGAAAATATTGAATTGCTGTTCTTGATGTGTAGTGCTGTTTACCTAGAAAGTAACACAATACCTAAATGTGAGTACCTAATGGACCCTCTTCCAAACTGGAAAGAAAGAAAAAAAGGATCTCACCTATTTCTTGAGACTTAAAACTTTAAAAAGGGTGTTTAACTTTTGACAGTTATTTGACGTTTTTTGAATCGATTCTTTAAAGCTTTATTTATAAACATCAACATTTTATTAAAGTTATTATAAAAAAACAGGTTGAAAAAGTGCTGACTTTTTAGCTTCTAAACATTTATACTCCTTTTGATATTTTTATGTTAGACGGCTGTACGTAGGCGTAATGAAAAGCTGGTGTTAAAGCACAATAAAAAAAAACAGAACTTTTCATAACCAATAACAAGAAACAAGCTGAGATATTGCAGCGGACAAATCTCCCTTGCATTTTTCTGTGGCGATATTTTACGAGTACCATTAATGTTTTAAGACTAATTTGCTTCTTCACTGTGTATGCCATTTATAAATCGAATTATGAGAGTTAGATATTCTTCTACAATGTATTCAAGTTTCAGCTCTTAATGTTAATAAACAATGAAAATATTAGCCATTTCTTATACAAGAAAGAAAAATTATATTTGATTTCCTCTGGGCTATAGAAGGTTTTAGTTTTTTTAAATGTTTTTTTTATTAGCTTTATATTGAGCCTACATATAAGTGTATGACATAAAAATGTCAAAGTTATTAGAAATTTTTATATGCTAAAAATTTGTTATTCTTCAAACCGATTTTTAAAAACAAATTTAATATAATCTTGATGTTTTTTTTATAATTTAAAACGAAGCCATAAAAAATCGATTAATATTTACAAAATATCCCTAGAGTGACTGTTTGGACAAGTACAGTTGTTTAAATAATCGGTATCCGGGATAAACAAATTGAATAACTCATAAACTGTATAATCGTTCTGTATGACATTTAGCACACTTTAAAAATCCAACTCCCATAATTTTAAATAGTATTACATATCGTTATGCAAAAAAGAAAGTAACTAACATTTATAAATTATACTTTAAAAATAAGGATTTTTATTTTAACCATATATCTCTAACATATATAAGAAACGATTGTTTACTAAAAAAAGCAAAGCAAAATTAGCTAAAGTCTTCACATAATTGTCATCAGCTACCCCTCATCTACCTTCTACAGACTTTAAATATCTGTTTAAGATTTTTTTCAGCTTTTTTAGAGTTGTAGCAGAGAACTACGAACACTGCGTTCGTAGTTCTCTGGTTGTAGATAATAAAAACTTATGTAATTTTTGAGAGTATCCAAATTAAAATACATGAAACCATTAACCGAAATAGTTGCAAAAAAACCTTATTCTTGCAGTTATTTATAAATTATAATAACTCTTTTTTGCGCAAAGACATGTAACAAAGCCCCTTGAAATTACGGAAATTAATAGGTTATTAAAGTGCGCTAAATATTAATTAGATAGAGCAAATACTTTATAGGTTATTTAATTTGTTTATAAACAAATATAATAACTTTGATATCGTTTATGCCACAAACTTATATAGAAGCTTAATGAAAAACTGATGAAAAACACACTTTCTAAAAAAACAGAATATTCTATGTCCATTACAAGCCAAGAGAGCATTCTATATTTAAAACCATAGCATTTTATTCTTAAAATCATAATTCCATTATCTATTAACAGTAAGAGCTGAAAATTGAAGGGACCCTAAATGTAGATCTTAATTGTACGATCCAACTTACAGATGGCATATGCAGTAAAGAAGTAAAAATTTATAACCCGTTAAAATGACGGTATTGGTAAAATACCGCTTCGAAAAAATAGAATGGAGACCCATCTGAGCTCGGATATATTTTTTTTTTATTTGAACCTTTTTTAAAATGAAGCCCGCTTGCAAAATTTGCAATATCTTGGCTTCTGTGGCACGTTAAACATTAATTTTCAACATTATTTAAACAACAAGAGTTGTTTAAATAATCGCTTTCCATGATAAACAAATCGTTACTTTTTTATTAGTTACATTACATACCATTATGCAATAACAAAGTTATTAAAATTTATAAATTTCTGCAAAATCAAAGGTTTTTGCAACTATTTTGGTAAATTCTTTATGTATTTTAACAGAAACTCGCAAATGGAAGAACTTTTTAAGATCTACAATTTTTATTTCAACTATTTTTCTCTAAACTGAATAAAAAAAGTTTTATAGGCAAAAGAATGACCTCTCACTTTTTAAAATTGTTTAAACAAAAACAAACCAAAATCACCTGTATGTCTTCATACATTTATCATTAACTAACCCTTATATATATTTTAGAACCTTCAAATATCTGTATAAGATTTCCACGTGAAATCAATGATTTTTTCCCAGATGGACTGGTGTATAAATTAGTTCTCCGATATAGATGAACTTATTTCTACTGTTCAAAACAATAATAATAATAGTGATATTTATTCACTAATTTGTTTTTCCGAAGTTTATTATATCATAATTATAATACCAACGAAAACGTAAAATTCAAATTAATGCATCTCGAATATGATGCATGCACTGTGGCGATAATGATGAATGAAAAAAAAAAATAAACATTTTTTTAAGTTAATTACGTAACGGAAACGGTGTAAAATACAAGAATATAAAAAAGTTTATGTTTGCTTACCAGAGTGTAATATCCAAGTTTGACAAGCCGAAGGATTTTTTGTCGGAAATCTGAAGATTCTCAGTTCATGAATTTTGTATGGTGATAAAGCACATTTGTAATAACAAATATTTCCAGCCATCTGTAAAAAACTATTTATTTATTATGGAAGTAACACTATTTTAATTTAAAATCACTTTCTTTCAAATATTATCGAATGTATGTATTATCCGATAAAATTTATTTCTAAATACATAATTTTGTTCATTTCTCATACAAATGTTTTTTTATGTTTTAAACGTATAGGATTAAAATGTTTTACTTACCTCGGACCAAATTTTTTAAATACACTTCCAAATAAAATAAAATATTTAAATTCTTTAAACTCATTTAGATGTATGAAGATTTAGAAGCCAAAGTATGTTTATGTACTTTAGTTGACACGATATTTACTTGTTGATAGTAATAATTATATTTTAAATGAATACCTTAAGTGATTCATGGTCTGTTTTTTGTAAAATTTTTATTTGTAAATAAACCTGTTACTATTGTCAGTGAAATATTGCAACGCTGGCGAATTTAATTCATGGGATTAAAAATGGACGTTTAGTTTAGTCTTTAACTTTTTCACATAGCACCATCTATTATAACGTATATCAAACAAACAATGGTACATTAAAATCTATTGAGACAGAAAGAGTGGTGACATCTAGTGACTGTCTCAATTAGAATCAAACAAATTTATACATTGCGTTGGCTAACTAGTCCTATTTAAACAATGGTAATTACACTTTTACTGTTTACTTAGAGAGCCTACAGAGTTTTCTTTTTTTTTTTTGTAGAATACTTCAGAGTAGATGGTAATAAAAAAGGTATCTTTACGAGACAAAGGCAGCCAAAAAATAGCGCCCATCTCTTAAGACGGCGCTATTGGTATCTCGCTTACCTTCTAGATGGAGCAACTGAATATTCTGCAATTAATAAAACTTTTATTGGGCTATAATTTATAAAAACGAGTACTTATTATCATTAGATAATGCTATTATCTAAGATTTACAATAATATTACAAATAAAAATGTCTTATTTTACTTACCCGTTAATTTAAAATGAGTTATACAAAAAAAATAATAAATAAATCTATTGAGAATGATAAAAAATAAGTATTGTTTATTTTACCGATTTGTATACCTACAGAAACACTAACACATTTAACTGTCAATAGTTCATAGGTGATTATAAGAGAGTTTTAAGAATTTTACATTTAGTTTCATTGGAATATTTCTGTTAGATAATATACTGCCCGCTTCTTTCCACTTCATAAATCCCAACCTTATTCTATTGCATCCATCTCCATCTATTTTCCCATCATTTTGCATTACAATCCTAGGTACTTAAAGCTATTACTTTTCACAACAGTAGCGATTCTTGAGTTTTACAATAGGGGAGGCTATAACTATAAAAAAGCTAATAGACAAATTTGCAATTGCAAAAAAATACCCATTTATTTTTGACCATTTTTTATTTACCTTTCACCTTACAGGGACCATCCCCCTTACCGTATGCTTGCATTGTTAACTGATGTAGAATAGCTTTTGTACTTACTTTTCCTCCTCCTAAGTGCCTTCTCTATTGAGGTTGGCGATCAATATGGCAAATTTCTCTTTGTTCTGGGCTTGATGGATTAAGTCATTTCCTGTTGTGTGAGTCCAATCTCTGATGGCTCGGAGCCAGGATTTCTTCTTTCTTCCTATATTTCTTTTACCCTCGATTTTGCCTTCTAATATTACCTGGAGCTGCTCAAATTCTTTATGGCGCATTATGTGTCCTAGATATGACGTCTTTTTAATTTTGATTGTATTAACCAGATGAGGTCGTGTGTTTATTATTTCCAGTATCTCTTTATTTGTAGTTTTGCTGGTCCAGCTTATTCTTAGCATTCGGCGGTACATCCACATTTCGAATGAATTCAGTTTGTTGACGTCATACTGTTTTAATGTCCAGGTCTCACAGCCATATAGTAGTAGACACCACACATAACACTTCTAGTGTTCTTACTTTTGTTATACAGAAAACTTTCTAAATCAAAAACCTTAAACATTTGTTTGAGCACAACCGTCAGTTTCATATACAATTAAATAATTGGAAATTTATTTCGTTAGGTTTTCCCTAATTCCTCAAAAATCTAGTGTTACCATCTTTAAACCCAAACAGCACAGTACGTTTTAAGTACGTACAATTTTGGTACTGTACGTACATGATGTAAAATGTACGTTTTAAATACGTACATTGGGGTACGTACCAGTACATACCAGTACGTACAGAAGAGTACGTACAGTTATGTTAACCTAACCTAATTTATTTGGTTAGAAATTTTACACTTCGAGTACAGTTGTGATGTGATAATTCATTGCAAGACAGTTTCATTTAGATTTTTTTTACTTATTTTTGGTGTGTGGTGCTTGTGGTTTCCTGTTATTTTATTTAGTCGAGTGTTTTTTGTGTCAAAAAGGTAGTGATAAGAAAGTGACGGAGCAAGAAATTGGACGATGGTTGAAGAGAGTCGGGGATCGCTTAAAAACTTTCTTTCTTATTTTTAAAAGAATAAAAATTGAATTTATTAAAAAAAATATAAATAAAAATACATTCACTTATATTTACTTTTATTTACATAAATCATCATAGGTGTGTATAGTATGTACATAATATATATATATATATATATATATATATATATATATATATATATATATATATATATATATAATATAAAGACAAGGTAGTCCAAAATTTTTTGACTAGTTTGGAAAAAATATGTAAATACTTTTTTCTTTTTGGGTGTGGTAGTCAATAAAAAATAGAGTCAAAATAAAATTGTAAATTTTTGTAAAAATTGTAAATTGTAAACTTTTGACTTATTTTGTTTTTGGTTGTTTGTTTTTTCTAAACCTACTTACTAAATACTATTTTCTTTTAATTGTTTGACATAATGAACTTTTTTTAAATTTACCTCTTAATTTAAAGTTGGTAACATGGTTGGTAGTACTTAAAATCACAAACGGTATTTTGTTAGATATCAGTTTGAAAGTTTGTTTTTTGTAGTTACATCGAACTATTTAAACAACAATAGTTCCTCCTACTACCTCTTTCTGTTCGTGAGATGTGACTGAATTCAAACCTGCGAAGACGACTGTTTTTTGTCAAACATGTCGTCTTATTTTTTACTTTTTAAACTTTGTAACATGTTCTTTAATTTTTAAGTTATTTTAAAATTTTTAAGTTTTAATGCCTTCAGTAATTCAGATCACATTATGTTATTTAACGTTGTGTTTTATATGCTATGAATCTTACTTTCTGGTAAGTTTTTATAACTTTTATATTACATCAGCCTAATTTTATAACACAGTAATTTTCATTGTAGACCTTGATAAAGGTGGCAAACAACCACCGAAAGCTCGGATTTCAGAATAAATAGTACGCCTTAGCAAAGCTCTATTTTTTATTGACTACCACACCCAAAAAGAAAAAAGTATTTACATATATATATATATACATATATATATATATATATATATATATATATATATATATATATATATATATATATATATATATATAGGGGAGAGTGGTCTATGCTGGGACATGGTTCATAGTGGGCCAACTGATCTGGCAACCTTGTCCGTTGCGTCTAAGATCTCAAATCACTTGTGTTGAGTCATATATGTTCGTGCACGTTGTGTTTGTGATTAATTTGCAGTTTCCGGCTAATAATAAGAAAAATATTTAATATTTTTAGTAAAAAGGTAAGTCAATATATGCCATTTCTATATTAAGAGTCAAATAATTTCGTTTATAACTTTTTTATTAGTAAACATTTCAAAACCCTGTTTAATATGTTTTGAGGTTAGGATATTAGAGAGTAAATGGGCCCGTGAATATTTGTATTCGTGTTGCCTATTTTAAGTAATCAGTTAGAATTTATTTTTCGTGGAATGGTTCATACTGAGAAATATCTACGTGGTTCATACTGGGACATCTAAAAAAGTGGTTCATGCTGGGACGCATGTAAATAGTGCATGTTTTAAGGGTTTTTCTGATGGTTTTTATTGAAAAGTAGGTTTCTGATTACATGTTTTTAATTTTTTTGTACTTGTAAAACACATCGATGTTTCCAGTTGAATAAAAACAATTAGGTAAGGATGATAATTTTTATATTGTTTAATTTTGTTACAGATTTTTAACAATGCCTAAGTGGGCGAGGGGAAAGCTACAAGATCATTACGAAGATAGTGCTATACTTCACTTGGAAAGGGCAAACCAGATGAAGGAAGCAGTTCTACAAGTAATCAGCGGTCAGAAAACCTTGAGAGAAGCAGCAGCAATAAACACTATATCAAAATCGGCTTTACAGCGTCATGTTTCAAAATATAAGGCTCTCTCAGGTGATGAAAAAGAAAAGTATGAAATTGCACAAAAACATGGGTATAAATCCGTATTTACGGCAGCAGAGGAAGCTATATTGGCATAATATTTACTTGATGCCTCTTATATGTGCTATGGTTTAACTGAAAAGAGACTAGAATTTTGGCTTATTCTTTTGCGATCACAAATTCAATTATTATACCAGACACTTGGAATTTAAATGGTGCCGCTGGGAGTGAGTGGATGAAAAATTTCCGACATCGTAATTCTCGGTTGACGTTACGCACACCGAAAGCTACCAGTTTGTCTCGTGCGACAAGCTTTAACAAACACAATGTTGGTGAGTTTTTTAAAAATCTAACAAGAGTGCTTCAACAGTACAAATTTTGTGCAAGTGATATTTATAAGTTAGACGAGACAGAAGTTACGACTGTGCACAAGCCTCCAAAGATATTAGCGCAAAGTGGTTGCAAACAAGTCGGAAAAATTACTTCAGGAGAACGGGGTATTTTAGTAACCCTGTGTTGTGTAATATCTGCAAATGGTACTTTTATTTCCCCATTTATGGTTTTCCCAAGAAAAAAATTTATCCCAAAAATGTTACAACACGCTCCTTCTGGTTCTGGTGGTTCCGCATTTCCTACAGGTTGGATGACTTCGAACACATTTTCAGAATGTTTGGATCATATTATTAAGCATACTAACTGCTCTCCTGCTAAAAAGATATTGATTATATTAGACAATCATGAAAGCCATTATGCAGTTGATGTTTTAAAGAAAGCAAAAGATAGTGGCATAGTATTATTGACCTTACCACCCCACTGCAGTAATCGGCTGCAATCTTTTAATATTTCCTGCTTTGGACCCTTTAAGTCATACTACAATAGAGCATCAGATGAATGGATGAATAATCACCCGGGTTCACCTTTAACAATTTATAACATAAGTGAAATTGTTGGTAAAGCATTTCCTTTAGCCTTTACCCCAACCACTATTTTAAAAGGTTTTCAGAAAACTGGAATTTGTCCGCTGGATTCCAACATTTTCACAGACCAAGATTTCATGATGTCCTACGTCACAGATCGACCGTCTGAAGTTGCAACTTTACCAAATCCAGAACGTCAAAATACAAGTGAAGCAAACACTCCTCCCGGGTCGTCCACTGCAGTTCATATTGTTCCCATAGAGAAAATATCCGTTGATTCAAATGAAATTAATACTGCCTATTTTGAACCTTCTGATTTACCTCCAGTAGCTGGACCTTCTCATTCTAAAGCATCAATATTAATAACACCTGAAGTAATTAGGCCTCATCCAAAAGCACTCCCTAGAAAAAATATCACCAAAAGAAAGAAGGGCCAATCACTAGTACTTACAGACCCTCCCATAAAAGATAGAATAGAAGAAGAGTATAGACAGAGACAAAATAAGAAACAGTTAAGAGAAAATAAGAAACAGAAAGTCACAAAACAAGTGTTTGGAGCATTACAAAAAATAGAAACTAAAAAAAATAAAAACATATGTCGTGTCAATTTATTACCCAAAAAAAGGTTCAAGAGACAATCAAGCTGTGAAGAGTCAGAAACGGATGATGACATGGAATCAAACGCACTTTGTGATGACGAGGACAATGATTTAGAGGCAGATATTCATATTGGTGATTTTGTTATTGTGAAATACCCTACTAAGAAAACTGTTCGTCATTATGCTGGATGTGTTGAAGATGTTATTA